ATTAACTCATGAACTGTTAAAAACAAATCCTAACTATTAATAGTCACTGAAATGACCTAGATACAGTGACTCAGCCAGTACTGACGAAATCCGCAGGGTCCAGGTCAGGTTTCTAAATACTATTTCCCACTCCTGGAGAAATGGCTGACCCCAGGCCTGGGGCAGGAAATGTGCTTGGGACCCAGAACACTCGCTACCCAAAAGCAAAGATGTCGTCGTGGCGACCGTGGTGGGTCACACTGAAGATGCTCTCATTGGCCAAAGATGGGAAACTTGAGCATCACAGGACACACTCTGGGCCGCTCGTGTCAAATCCGTGGAAAACAGGTGAATCTACAGCGGTGCTTAAGAACCCCATTCCACTGTCACACTTGGAGAGGCACAGCAAAGCATACAAGTCGCTATTTTTTAAACAGATGAATAAAGGGAGAGAGCCGAGCATCTACACTGCTTTTCTAATACACACGGTACCTGAGGGTAACCAAGCAGTTGACAGGAGAAAGCTCTTTTTTTTTTTTCTTTTTGTTTCTTAGCTGAGCCATCCTGCTATCTATTGGCAGCTCAGTGGCAGCTCAGCTCGGGCTGGGCATCAAACCGCTGTTGCTCAGAGCTCAAACTCTTGAGCGAGCTCTTAACCAACTGAGCCACTCGGCCAGCCCCAGGAGAAAGTTCTTTACAGAACAGTCCGGTTAATGAAGAGGGACGCAACGGCAGAATTGAAGTTATTAGTCTTCTATGCTCACTGATGAAGTAACAGCTCTGAGTGGTGATCTGCACTGGTTGCTAAAACCTGAGACAAAAAGCTCGCGAGGAACTTTCAGTGGATGACCATGAAGACGGAACCAAAAGTCGATGACAGTCGCAACAGCACAAGACAGACCACAAGGCATCCCGCACCTTCTGACAGAAATGCACAACTGCAAAATATTCTTGCCATTGAAACTGCCAGCATAATCTGATCAAGCCTCCAGACTAAAGTCCCAGTTTACAGGAACTGTGGACCAGAGACAGGGTGATGCAGGAGCCTTTCCATGGCAACACAGGGATGCCAACAACAAAATACAAAAGGTGGCAAATTCTTCAGGATAAACAACCTGAATGCTTCTTCTGCAAATACACTGCAAGGACTATAGATCGAAGGAATTAACAGACATGTCAATCAAAATGCCCTGTGTGGGACGTCACTTCTGGAAACCTTATGAGCAGATGTCCGAGAACCCGACAGGGAACCATCTGATGGTTATGTTTTTAGCTTATGAGTACTTTTAACTCATTAAAGTAACAAGAATTGTGTGAAAAAAGCTTTTGACAATACCTACCCCTTGACCACCATTTTAAAAGCCAGTGGACAGGAAAAGGGGGGTCTCTGTCCCTTGACCTCTAGCCGAGATTGTGCCGAGGAATTCTGCAGATGACAGTGAGCCAGGCAGAGCCTCTGGGCAGAGAAACCCAGGCACAGGTCCTTCCCAGCATTCATGAACACATATCATGAACCAAACATTCACTGTAGGAGAATGTACATCTTTCTAGAGAAAAGGCCCATGCATCTCACCAGCTTCTGGGTTTAAAAACTGTGCTTTAAGTGGAAAGTTACTACCTGCAGTAACAGTTACTTTATAAATGAAACAAAATGTTTGCTTTGCCTTGGCCATCTGCCTTGGTCATAGCATAGTCAAGTTCTGCAAAAGCAGACCCCGCCCACATCTCCCACTCCTTCCTTGAGGTGAGGCGTTCTACACTCTGTGGTCCTGACAGGGTAATGCAAAATGCAGAAAAGAGTGAAGGCACACGTGCCATGGACAGCCAATCAAGGGTACTAACTATAAAGGCTCTGTATGCACACAGACAGCTTTACAATGTCAAAAATATACACTAGGTTGGTGGTATACTTGAACTGCAAAAAGGGGAAAATGTTAAAAAGGAACTTATCTGACTTATGGTAGAAAATACAAAAAACAACAACCTGACAACAGACAAGCCCAACAGCTGCAATTGCTAACGACTGGTATGTACCCTCTGGTCCTGAAAACACAAGTCAAAATGGTTTTCTTCAGATCGCCCTCCTGCAGTAAGGTACTCTCCTTCAATACCTGAGTTAGAAACCCGAAAGGTCTGTAGCTGCTAAACAGCCAAGCACCGGTTTTCAATCAGGAGGCTCCATCATTCCCCTAACGGAAACCCCCTTCAGATAAAGGACGACTGTGTTGTTTGGCGTGGTTTTCTGATTGTAACTCAAAATCCCACATATATTTCTCCACCTGTATCAGTTTATTACTTTTAAAAAGCAATGCAACCAGAACTAAACATATCCAAAGTAACTTTCTGAAGGTGGAAAACGTATCCTTGTTAAACACCAATCCTGAGGTCTAAATGATAGCGGTAGGGGTGAGCAGCAGAGGTGAAGCGCCTTCTACGAGGTGACCCCTGCACACACACTCAGGCACCCTCCTGCCGGGCCGCACTGATGCTGTCTCCCTCAGCTGGATGGTCACAGCTTCTGATCAAGTATCGCCAACTCAAGTCCCACTAGGAAATTGAGTGCAAACGCCTTTTTCTTTTAAAGATGGCATGCAGCTGAGTAGCAGAGTGAAGTCTGGAGTGCCAGGGAGCCCAGGAGCCCGAGTGCAGCAGTGGGCTCTGCAGCCCACCGGGCATGGGGGTCCCTGCAAAGGCTAATCCAAGGCCCTCCATCAGAGCGTGGCTGCAGACCAACGGGACCACATACACATGTACAACCAGGTCTGGCATACGTTTAAAAAATAAATAATATTCGTCATTATATTTCTATGTAAAGCTGTAATTGCTTCCATTTCTTTTCACTGTCAAAAATCAAAAGACCACCTAATCATATGTGTCACTGGCAGGCATCCTAAAAGACACGTAAGTAGAGCCAAAATAACATGAAACTTTGTGCGAAATAATAACCCATGGATCTCACGGTTTCCTCTTACAAGCACTTGGCCTTCTCAAGCGCCCTGTCAATACTGCGTGATCTGATCAATTTCTGCACATGTGAATAAACCTACAGCATCCTTCTAACCATGTCTCCTGTCAGCTGAAGGCGTAAAATGCAATTTTATTTCAGCACCAGACTGAGCTGAGCATAATGAGAAACGTCCATCTGCCAAAAGTCTCACTGATTCAAAAACCCTGAAGGAAAGAGCCCCGCACCACTGGGTCCCCAGCCCCTCACACACCTCAGAACTCGGAATGAAATGACCTTCCCTAAACTGAGAGAAGTCCACCCATCCCAGCAATCGGTGCCTCCACTAGAAACAGGATGCAGCTCCAGGCAGAGGACTCAGGGGGCAGGGCCCTTCACCTGGCAGCACTAACCCTGGCAGCACGCCCACAGGACTGGCAGGGACACCACAACCCGCGTTCTGCCCAGCCCTCCCTGACGGACCCCTCAGCACACAAGACAATGGCTGCCGCCAGGTCCCATCTCTCAGAGCCCACCTGCCCGAGCCGTCAGAGACCCTTATCTCGCCCCCCGTCTTTCAAACAGGTGAGTGACCTGTCCCCAGCCCGGAGGGAAGGCAGCGGCTCAGACACATCACGAGTCCTGGTTTAGAAGGGGACCCTCGCCTTGCAACCACACATTGAACATGATGTTTCCTTTGAAACAAGGTGCTGGCAGAGAACAGGGAACCAGATGGCAGGGAGGCCAGGACGCGCCGCAGCACCTAAAGCCCCCACTCCAGGCCGAGCCTGTCTACAGCGTCAGGCGTCCAGCTCATTCAGCAGCTCCCCCTCCAGCCTGAGCCTGTGGCTCTCCACTGGCAAGTCCATCCGGTCCTTTACTCTGAGCTATGTCTTGCAAAATCTTGGCAAGTCTGACTTTATTTCAAAGTGAAAAGCTAAAAAATAGAAAAGTTTTAATTTAAAATTAAAGACAGCTGATTTGAAAGTAAAAGCAAAAAATTAATAAGTGTTAGTTATAAACTGAGCTTTTCTCCTCAAAGAGCTTAGGCAGGGAAATACAGAGAAGCCACCAGGAGTAAATCCTCGGCCCTCTCATGTGGCTTTCATTTGTCTCAGCTGTGCCCGAGACATGTCTGCAGGAAACTGCTACTCTAACCGGAGAGAAACAATTAGAAGACACCGATGAACAGCAACTAACATCAACTGCAGACTCGCCAGAGGACAGGGAGTGAAGGGAAAGCTAGCTGGGCACAGGTTGGTTCAGGGCACGGCCATCACTGTCTGGCCAGCTGCTCCCCAGGTAACGTGGGAGCACCGTGGCTGGTCTTCCAATTTTCAAAAAGAAGCAAAATTCCACATTTGTAGGTAGCGTATCATTAACACTACATACTGGCAACCACTACATTTTTTTCAATAAGGCAGGCCAGACACATCCTGATTTTGAGTCAAACTCTGCCTCAGCCACCAGCTTCCCACTCACCTGCCCACCTCACCGGCACGTGCCCAGCTGTACATAGCAGGGGCGCTCACAGTTCAAGGCCCCGCTCATAACACACACAAGCCCCAAGCAGAGCCCACCTCTGAACGGTCGGGAGGCCGCGCAGGGCCAGCAGCTCTCAGGTCCTCAAGTAGCAGAGGGTGGGACCTCCTCCAGCAAGACCGTTTCCACACCTTCACCCCTTCCCTCCTCATCTCATGTTCAGAGGAAGGGAAAGGACAAAGAATGACACGTAGGTGGATTTGAGAGGAGGTGATGTAAGTGTCCGCAGACACACCTGGCAGAGGGCTGATGCGCAGCTACCCCCAGGAACCACTCCATGTCAGACGTCCCTTACCAGAGCAAGCACCCACGCTGACAGTGCCTCAGTCAATCCGAAACTTCTCAAAAGCATACAAAGATGAGCATGAGGAGGGAAACCAGACACGCACGCACCCTTTACCCCCCACCCACCCCGTAAACTAAAACACACCTTCCCCACTTCTGATGGACAAAAACACACGACAGACCCCTTTTCGTAAATTATGCTAGCAAGAACCGACATGGAAAGTGCAGGCACAATGCTGAGAACATTCACCTGAGCCGCTCCTGCCCCCTCAGGGGGGGCATCGCACGATGTGCTATGGCAAGCGTCCCCTGCGCCCACGAGTCCACCATCCTCGACAGCTACCGGGCTCTCCTCCTGGACAGGCGCATCGACAGCCGGGCCCGTCCTCTTCGCCGTCTTTTTCTTCGAATGCGCACAGTCACCTTTTGCTTTTCTCTGTCGGAAGTGAGCAAGCTGCGCAGAAACGTAGAGAAGTAGTAAAGACAGAGGTAGGTGAGGAAAATGCAGCAGCACCACAGAGTCAGCAGGCTTGCGGGGGACATGGAGCTCCGCGTACTCGGCCACGCCTGGCCAGATGCACGGCCCCCAACAGATCCCGCCCCACAAACAGGGCCTTCATTAATGCCTACGATTCCAGGATCTGCACTCAGAACCACACGCCTAGAGCCTAACGACGGGGACTGTTAATTATGCCGGGAGCAGACCGGAGAGGGGGAGATGGCCCAGCGGCAGAACAGCTTTTCTAGCTCCTGGCAATTTACAGAAAAATAGTATTTTAAAAATACATCTATTTAAAGGACCGATAGTTTAATCAAGACATGTTTAAGGTTTATATAAAAGCTAAATCTCTCCCTTTTTTGCCCTTTTCCCCCAATCAAGGCCAAAACTTCCTAGCCATAGATTCTGAGACAAGGCAAAGAAACAGCAAAAAATTAATTAAGCCAGGTCAATCTAACATCCTCCTTTACGGAATCAGATGTTCTAGTTTTCATGACACAGCTCACCAAAGCACCAGGGACCTCCACAGAAGGTCACCCATCACAAAGCACAACCCAGCTCTGTTCTACCTCTCGAATCCGGGGTTTCAGACTCTGCTTATGCTGCATCTCCCATTAACACTTCTTCAAAAGGTATGAAGTCTAACATCAGCTTTTGTAATGACAACTGCCGTCATAAAAGCAAATGGATTTAAGAAATGTTCGTGTAAATGACAGTAAAAGGGTGCGATTCCATGGACACAGGAAAAGTACCCAAGGCCTTCCACACGAGAACCACCGCCTGTCACAGACCAACTGTGCCTTCGAAACCAGCCCCGTGTTCACCGATCTCAGCCCCCTCCATCACATCTACCCGTCTAAGAGTCCCCTTTCTGCATCACGGTCCTTGGTTCTGGCCTGGGCTGCCCGACAGAAGGCGTCTTGTTCCTTCTTGAGATGAAGTCAATCATCACCCTCCATGTTCCTTCAAGCACATTTACTCACGTGTACAAAGCACAGCAAGCTCGGGACACACATAGCGTTGAACCCGGGCCCACTTTCAGCTCCCATGTATGTGCCAAGCACATACATAGAGCGGGGGAGAAACAGGCCACAGCCTCCCTATTCAAATCCCCATCAGAAGCATCATCTTCAGAGGAAGCCTGCCCCAGGCCAGTCTGTCCTGTCCCGCCACTGGCTCACACCAATCACCATCTACTCTGAGTGGTTTCTTTAATGCAGTGGCCCTGTGGCTTCCTCAAGGGAAGAAGCTAGCAGTGAGCAGTCTGATCTCAAACAGCAGCTTTCTATGGCTCTCCCCGCAGTCATTGGCACTAGAGACTCTCACTCATTCACTGCTGGCGGAGGGGGTCACTCCCCACAGCCACACGGGGTTGGTCAGGGGTCACAGCCAAAGTGTGCACACCTGCTCCCCTCTGCCCCTAGAGCTGGGTCTATTCAGCATACAGGTAGTCCCCACAATACCTCCCCAAACAGCGGGTACCACAACAGGTTCTGTGAAAACCCTGGGAGAAGGCAGGTGATCAAAGCGCGCCTGCAGACGCGTGGCTCCAGGGTCCCTGGCTTCCCTGGCACATCCACAACCCACGGACGTAGCACCCTCCCCTGGAGGCGCTGCCTGGGAGTCTGGAGCGTCACTAGGAACCCGGCATGGGGGTGGCTCCAGAGGGCTCTGCCACCCTCACCTGCTCAAGACCATCCAGCTGGGTCCCAAACAGCAAGCTTCTGGACCCCGGGATATTAAGGTCAGCGGGAGGTATTCTGCAGCGTAAAGAAGTCACCACGGGGGCCTTTTTATGTTAAAACATATTGCAGAATTCCCAAGTAAAACGAAAACCTGCAGGTAGTTTTAAACGGACGGAAGCCAGGCTGGGCCCTAGAGAGCGCGCCTGTGTGTCCCAGTACCGCAGGGAGCCCCAGGCCCTCGAAGGCGTCCGGGAATCCTGAGCTCTGAAAGGTGGGGCCGCAGCAGGTGCAGGGGTGCGATGTCTGGCTGTCCAGAGCCAAGACACGCGCTGCGGTAACAGCGCCCTTCACGTTCTACCGGGGTCCGGATGAGGGCAGGCGGCCGAGGCGCAGCGCGTTCCCAGGGCCCCTCAGTTCCCTGGCCACCTCACAGCGGCCGTGAGGAAGGCGCCACGCCCGCTTCCCTAGAAGGCGGGGTCCCGGCACAGACTCCAGCCCACCGGCGCCGCCCCTCCCGGACCCCTGTACCGCGCGCAGGCGCAGCCCCGAGAGTCCCGACGTGCCCCGCGTCCGGCCTCCTAGCGAGGGACCGCGCGTCCCCGACCGCAGATTGGATGCAGCCGCGGCGGGGGCGGGTCCGGGCAGAGGGCGGCGGATTCAAGATGGCGGCGGCCAGGAGGCGGCTTCCAGCCGAGTCGGCGGGAAGGGCAAGAGCACGGCGGCGAGCCTCGCCTGAGCGCGTGCGCTCCCGGGAGGGGGCAGTGGCGGGCACTGGAGCCTGCCCGTAGGAGTCCACGCCGGGGCAGCGGAAGGGGGAGGCGCCACCGTTTACCTTCGCTCTCCCCGCCTCCACCTTTCTGCGCCGCTGCTCTTGCTCAGCTTCCATTTCCCTCCAGGGCTCCTCGCGGGTCGTCCGCAAGGTGACGGGCAGACGCGGCGCCGCCTTCGTTCTATTTACACTCCCTCCCCCTCGCCCTCCCCCGCGACAACTGTCACGCAGACGTGGGCCCGCCCCGCGTCCGGCCCCGTCCCGGGCGTGCGCCGCCAACCCCGCCGCCAATCCGGGGCCAGGTTTCTGCCCTCGCGCGCGCGCGCACAGGGAGGTGCGGCCCGGGCGGAGCTCCGCCCCGTCGCCTCCGATTGGCGCTATAACGCTCCAATCAGCGGAGCGCGGTGGCCTCGGAACTCGCTGTGGTTGGTCGATTTTAAAGGGCCGAGGCACCGCCCCGTCTGCGCAGGCGTCCCCGCGATGGTCCTGCTCCTGGAGCCGGGCACCTTTGCTTGGGAAGCAGCGACTGTCCGCTGCGGTGGGTATCTCATGTCCCGCCCCGCTATGTCCCAGATCCCCCTCACCCTCTCTTCGGGGCTGAGCCCTGGTCACTGCCCTTCGACGCTGGGATGCTCTTTATACATTGCACAGTCGCAGGCAGCCAGCAAGATCACTTGGATTTCTTTCTTAGGCTTCCATTCCCTTCCTGTGTGATCACTTCTTCCTCCTTGCCTGCGGGCGCCTGGACGCAGGGAGCCCAAATTGCAAGGGCAGCCAGTAATGACTTAGGTGGGAATCTGGGTCGGGACCCCCAACCACCCAGAGCCCAGAGTTGCAGTGACAGGACGCCACTGGGACTGGCAGATTGAGGACTCAGTGTGTCTACTACCCCCCGCTCGCAGCTTCTGGGAGGTGCGGCATACGAGTTGACCACGGTCCCATAGTCCTAGGTCCACTCCAGCACCTCTGCCATAAAGAAGTCCCCTGGATGGAACAGTGGTAGCAGGGACCCCATGCTGGTGGGGAGTTCTGCAGAGGGACAGGAGAAGGACCTACAGGCCAGAAAGGCAAACTTATACCTGGAATTTGTATCTGTCCCTGGTAGGACCATCTCTGGAACCCCAACGTGGAAGGGGCTCCATAGGCTGATTTGCCAAGTGGCCTGTGGTCTTGAGAAAAGCTTGGTGAGGATGCAATTTTAAACGATACACTAATTGTACACAGTTCTAGTTCAGCAGAGGGAGAGCATTGGTTCAGTGAAAAGCAAAATCTGGGCTGGCCAAGTGGCTCAGTTGGTTAAGAGCTCGCTCAAGAGTTTGAGCTCTGAGCAACAGTGGTTCGATGCCCAGCCCAAGCTGAGCAGCCCCTGAGCTGTCAACAGGTGGCAGGATGGCTCAGCTAAAAAACAACAACAACAAAAAGCAAATCAGTCTCTTCTCAAGTGGGAAAGGGTTAAGGCTTTGATATGTTTGGGTAAATCATTCCACGTATGTATGTACGGTATATTGCAAATGGTTATTACAAAGGAATATGCTGTTTATCTGTTCAATTTTGCTGTGAACCTAAAACTGTCCTAAAAAATAAAGTCTATTAAAACATTCTTTTAAAGGAATGTGACTTTTGTTAATAATTCCTGGTATGTGTGGGAATCTGAAGTCTCATGAAATCATTGTTTGTTCCTTAGCTTCAAACTTAACTTGAACCTGTTTGTCCAGATAAGGAAACAATGCAAGTTTTTTGTTCCTAGCCCAGGGTTTTGATTAACAATCAAATGCTGGTGGTGTAATCAAGCGCTCTGGAAGCTGATAAGCTGTGATTAATTGAGATTAATCCAAAGCATCTGACCTGTACCTCTTGTTGCTCTAGTGTAACTGTACCTGGGGCGAGCATTCCCAACCAGAGTGGGCCCTGGGGAACAGCGACGCTCTCGCCAAGTGGTGACCCGGTCTCCCTAAATGTGCTTAACATTCTGGGTCTCATTTTACCTTCTCTCATCGCTATCAGTAGCATCCCACTTACCATTAAAAAGAACACAAAAGCAAAGCCTTAAGTTAGGGTCTCTCTATGGAACACACCACATTGCACCAGAGTCCAGGCAGATGACGAGAACAGGGTGGGAGTCACGGAAACCACCTTGAGTTCCCCCTGTAAGAAGTATGAACATCCACAAAACTCTGCCATGCTACACACCTGGGCCGTTTTAAAGCTGGGTAGGATGACAGCACTTCAAGTGGCCTGCAACTAGAGAGGTGGCATAAAAAGCAACATTAGGGTGGGTGACCTGTGCAGGGGGTGTCTCAGCAAACATACCAGGGTGTCTAGGTTTCCCTCTGTTCTTTCGCCCATTGTTGTGCCCTCACTTGGAAGGGGTTTGTGTGCAGCCTGTATTCTCCATTTGCTCTCCTCTCTACAATGAACTAAGGGTAACAGCCATGCCCTCCCATTCACATGCTGACAGCTCACTTTTCAACCTCAGTGAGAACGCCAGATTCTAAGCAACCATGACTCACACAAATCTCCTTCAGGGAGCCCTGGAAACTCAACAGCTAGGAAGCATTCGTGCTCCTGCGTTGGACCACAGCCCTCTGTGCTGAGTAAAGTTTCTTGTTTTGGCTCGCAGAAGTGAGCAGCTTGAGTAAACACGAGGTGGTGGGCTCACAAAACCAGGGGTCAGGCAGGCGACACCAACGGGCCACAGGGTCAGACCTGAGAGCCATCAGACCCAGATCTAGGCCTGGCTCTCTCAACCTGTATGTGTTTACATTTAAAACTCCGTGGGGACCCCAGTGCTGTTTGCCATGCTGGTTTGCTCAGCGTCCCTCAGACCCCAGAATCACGTCCATGGTCATTCTACAATAGACAGTTTCTGTAGCTGGTGAATACTCACCCTCGGAGAGGGAAACAACCCCCACACACACTCCTTAGGCGTGGGCTGTGCGTGGCGACTTCCTCCCACAGAGGACGGGTGGGAAGGGAGAGGAAAACAGTAATTGTGGAGTGGAGAAACCTGAAGGACATGACCTTTGCCAGGTGATCAAGGTCAACGCCATCAGCGTCTGGTAGGATGTGATGAGAAGGTGCTGCACCTCTGTGGTCTCCCTCCCAACAGCCCACACTCCCAGTCCAATCTAGAGAAAACCATCAGACAAACCCAACAGGGGGTCGTTCTACAAAGTCCCTGACCCATTCTCCTCAAGACTGTCAAGGTCGTCAAAGGCAAGAGGAGCCAAAGGAGACACGACGACTAAATGTCATGTGTCCTGATGGGATCCTGGGACAGAAAAAGGACGTTAGGAAAAAGAAGAATGAAATCAAGTATGGACTTTAGTTAATGAAATAGGTATCGATATAGGTTCATTAATTGTTACAAATGTTTCATCTTAATATGTCAATAGGAGAGCTGTATGTGGTAACTGTAAATCTTCTCAATTTTTCTGTGAATTTAAAATTATTCTAAATAATGAAGTGTTTCAAAACTGTCTAACAAACTCATACCTACTGGGATGTATCGTGACCCCTGGGATCACCTCTTAGCTTCCTTAAGTTGTTAAGTTAACTAGTTTCTGTGCTTATCAGACCTCCTGCTTGAATGTTAGGTTTATGTTACATTTAGGACCATGAGGACCTAAATACTGAGGTCTATGGGCAACTTAAGGGGTTTTAGCCCAATTTTGGCCATCTGATGCAAATTTCTGGGTCAGCTGCATGAGGAGGGGACTGTAGGCTACCGAGCCCTGCTCTTCCCCCAGACCTGGACTGTGGTCACCACGCCAATTTCAACCGTGCTGCATCCCTTCATCAGCCCTCTGAGCCAGTTTGTAAAGCTAAAATGGAAAGCCCATTGAACAAAAGGCCACCTCCTAGGTTCCCTGCAAGCACTGTTACAAAAGGGCTCCCCTGCTGGGTGCCCTCTACTGCCAGCACCTGCGGACAGTTGGGTCACTCTCCCCAGGTGCTCCTGCCTTTCAGCCACCAGGACGCCCACCCCTGTCTGGGCCAGCGTCCCAGCCAGGCAGTCCAAGTGCTGGACTCACTTCCCACCCAGGGGTGGGGTCCTCAGGCCAATGGCCCACGAGAGGCCGGCTAGGTGCCCTTGGGGTGGTTGCACGTTGAGCCCCACCTGGGAAGCCCCTGGGTGGGTCATTGGTTGGCTTGCTCCTACCACCTGGAATTTCCTGAAATCCACAGGAAGCTGGTGCCCCCATCTGGTTCTTCTGGAGTCTAGGCTTTGCTCCTGTCTGGCTCGAGGGTGCCTGGGAGTGGCCAGGGGCCTGCTGGCCTCCTGGAGGCAGCAATGGATGGAGGGCACAGGCCCCTGCACGAAAGGGAATTGGATATGCTGCCCCCTCCCAACAACGCTTCCCTCTTCTGGGCTCTGTCCTGAGGGTGGGGACAGTGCATGGTGGGCTGGGGACTGTCCTCCCCTCAGGACCTCACTCTGCCCCTTGGCCCCAGCTGCTGCCCATTTTTGCCCTCCCAGGAAGGCCCACTTGGCCACACCTAGGGATGGTGGTGTTTGCAAGTAACCCCTGTGTGGGGACCAGGCGGGGCCTGGGAAGGACTCTCAGTGGAAACCCAGCAACCCGGGGCCTCCCTGTCTGTGGCGCCTGGCAACCACCAAAGCATTGGCAGTGTTGGCTCCGGACTCAGGGGATGTGGGGCCCTTCCCACTCCCTGGCAGAGGCCCGTCTCCAAGAGGGAAACCAAGCCCAGCATCAGAGCCTTCAGTGACACCAGGGCCGAGGCGGCTTGTGGCTAGCAGAGCGGTGCTCTCCTGCAGATAACTGACAACCAGGGTGAGAGGGGGCCTGCGGAGTCCCCTGTCCTGCTTCCCAGGATGCTGGACTCCTCTGTGGCAGATAGAATGGCCCGACTGACCTTGAAACTCTTGGAGAAGGTAAGACCGCCAGGTACTCATACGTTCAGCACCTGGGCGCCGCTTTAAAAGGCAAGGCATTGTTCCCGAGAGAGCCCCTTAGTCTGTCCAAATAAACGCTCTCCCGTGGCTTTTTTAGCGTGGTGATGAAAGACGGTGGTTTCTTAGTTTCTGTGTTTACACGGAGCTAAGTAGGTTCTTCTGCAGTCTCTGCAGACAGGAGGCAGACATGCAGGCTCCCAAGGGCCCAAGCACTTCCCAGGCCCCACGAAGGTCCCCTGAGGAGCCTCTGGACTTCAGTGTTGAAGGGAAGACAGAGACTCCCCCCCCACACACACACACACACCCTGTGCAGGACCCACAGTCCCCTGGGCTGGGCCTGGGACTGGCGGCCTTGAGGACCTTCCTCACCCCTGTTTACTTACCCTCTGGGGGTCTGCGGGTCCTCACAGCCCTGCACCTCCCCCCAGTCCAGTGGCCCATGGGCTGACTTGGAAGAGCAGGCAGGGGTCACCCCAGTACGGGCTCAGATCATGGCTGCCCAGCCCAGGGCCCAGGTGGGGCAGGCAGGGTGGTCAGGGACACAGCTGGCCTGGGTCTGGCTCCTACGAAAGCTGTCTAAGGGGGGGCCACATGTATCAGAGTGTCTGCCCTTAGAGTTCAAGGTGGAACGTGTACATCATATGGAAAGTGACACGGAGAGGGGACGATGACCCTTGCTGCCTGTCACACAGCACTTCCTGCTAAATCCCCTCCGTCTGGGGTGCTGGTCCCTCCAGAACCCTCTGGGTCATCCCAGGAGTGCCGGGCAGATGCCCCACACCGCCCCCCCCCACGTCCCACTCACACCCAGCCTGCACCTGGGGACCGAACCCAGGTCCCCATCATGGTGTCATTTCCTCCCAGAAACTGCAGCAGGAACGTGAGGCTGTGGATGAGGACCCCAACCTCATGCCAGGTAAGAGCCGGCTGCATGGAGACCCCTGAGGCTCAGATCCCTCCCCGTCCTGTGACCACAAGCCTGTGCTTACTCTCACTGCTCTGTCAGGAGCTGAAGGCTTTTGTTTTCATCTTTACACACCCCAGGTGCTCTGCTGAGTGTACCCTCATGTCTCCTCACCTTAATATGCAAATCCCAGGACTGGGTCCACGACCCCCATTTTGCAGATGAGAAAATGGAGGCCCATGTCATCCCAGATCCCGGGTTGGGTGAGGCTGGGGCTCTGCTGGGTCTGCATGTTGGTCAGCCAGGCTTGCCCCCAGGACATGAGGACCCACCGGATGCTGCCCTGCAGAGCGCTCTGAGGACCAGGAGGGACCTTCTGCAGAGACTCTGGGTAGGCCCGCAGCACAGCAAGCCTTGGCCCCATGCTCAGACGAGGTGGGGGAGGGTCCCCTGACCCTCTGGTCTTTCTGGTTCTCTGGGACTCATGGGCGGGTCCCTGGAAGCTGTGAGCAGTGAGACTTGGTGCCTGGGTCCTGGCAGATGGCTCACTGTCTGCAGGCTGGGCTGACAAGCTGGGCTGACAAGGTGTGTGGTGCCAAGAGCCCTGCTTCCGCACACATGCCCGGGTGGAATGCGGCACATGGCCCACCTCCCACTGGGGTTCGAGGGGGCCGGGCCTCGTTTAGACTCAGTCCAGGCCACGTGCTGGGTCCATGGACTCTGGTATGAGCCTGCGACTCTGTAGTGATGGAGACGCTGAGGAGGCTGAAACCTGAAACTAGCTCGTAGCGTTTGGTAAATTTCAAAGGCAGCCTTATTGTCACATATGCCCCGCTCGAGGTCTCACGCGGAGCAGTGGAGGCCCTATGCCCCTCTGCCACTCTGGTCACGTTGCAGGAACAACAGCTCCTGGACGAGCTCGCCCGCACCCGGAGGGGGCCAAGCACAGCAGCCTGTGGGCCAGTGCTGTCCCCACAGGTGACCCCGGGAGCCTATGGTGCCACCTCCCAGCCCCCACCAGCCCCAGAACCGCCGCCTCCGATCATCCAACACCAGGTGGGTCCCCCTCCCAGTGCCCACAGAGACCCATTGAACAGGTCATTCTCGGCAACCTAGCAGCTTTGTGACAGTGGGTCTGAAGAGGGTCCGTCGGCCCAGAGCCAACAGGTGCAGCTACTGTGTCTGCAGCACTCAGGGGACCTCAGTGGCTCATTTCTGCCAATCCCGCAGGCCCCTGAGACAGGGCTTTGGGGAGGGGCGGCCTCTTCACCTCCTTACAGGTGGGAGGTTGGGGTCCCAGCCCCAGGTCCCAACCTTTGCTCTAGGAATAGAAGTATTAGGGACATTCAGCCTCAGGAGGACCCGGGGGTTGGGGGAAGACATGTGTCAACTCTTTCAAAACTTCATAATGAAACTTAATGAAAAAATGTAAACGAGTTCCAGTTTTGAAAGCCTCATACCTTTTTTCATCATCTGGGTTGCAAGCGGTAGCAAGTGGCTGTGGCTTTCTTAAGAGAAAGGGTTGTATTGGAGGCCAGCTGGGTGCCCAGAGGAGGCACGAAGCTGGGACGTGGCACAGTGGAGCCTGGGGACGAGATCAGTGTGACTGGGGAGGAGAGCAGGCCGACGAGGTAGGCAGGCTGAGCTGAGAAGGATCTGCACTGGCCGGCCAGGGACACTGAGGGTGGCGGCAGGCTGGGTCCGGGACCCGGAGGACACTGGTTCTTGGAGCAAGGACACTGGCAGCACATGGTGGGTGGCCTCAGAGGGTTCCATGCTCACAGGGCCCCGGAGCCCCCTTTCCCCCGGCTGCTCTCCAGTCTTCACTTGGAACCCCTTCCGGGTGGGAGTGTGGGCTGTCCGCACAGGAGGCTCTCCCAGCCCCAAGCATGTTGGATCAGGACCCCACCCTCATGACCTCATTTAACCTTTGTCACCTCTTCACAGTAAAGTCACATTGGAGGTTAGAGCTTCAACATATGGGGGGGAGAGGGGGGGGTGTTACACACTCAGTCCATAACCTACAGTCTCCTAAGTGATACCCACTCAAGTAGTTATCTACTCAGCCATCGATTCAACCTCTAGGGTTAATCATTTATAGTTACCGTTGGATGCATGGATAGATAAATGGGTGGGTGGAAGGAAGGAAGGAAGGGTAAATGATGGATGGATGGATGGGTGGGTGGGTGGGGGTGGGGCTACAGGACACTCCAAGGACACGCTCAGGTAGCTAACCACCTGGCTCTTCCTAGGTCCCCCAACCTCCTACCACCATCATTCAGCAGCTACCTCAGCAGCCACTCATTGCACAGATCCCCCCTCCCCAGGCCTTCCCCACTCACAGGTCAGGAAGTATTAAGGAAGGTAAGTGAAATTTTTATGAAATTCTCTACTGAAGGAAAAATATTTGTAAGCAGGATGGTCGTTTAGGGTCAGCTTTGGCTGCTCGACTGAAGTTACGAGTCACCAACATGAAAACAGCTTAAACTTTGAGAAATGCTTCCAGTCAGTAGCACTACAAAAACCACAGTTAAATTGCTTCTTCTTTTTAAATAACTTTTGATTACTTGACTTTTTTTTTTTTTAAGATTTTATTGGGGAATTGAGGGAGGGGAACAGACAAGTTGCTGTCCTTTTGTTCTTCAGTCTAGTTGTGGAAGATGTTGCTTCACTGGCCCACGTTGGTATCATTGCACTCTTCCTGGATGAGGCAGATTGGTCACCGGCCTCTAGAGGGCCACTCATGGCAGCTCTTGGCAGCTCACACCGGCTGCCGGCTGCCGGCCACACACAGTAGTAACTCACGGCAGCAAAGCTCCAGGTCAAGCTGTTGTTCACCGTCTTAGCTGTAGAGGGCGCAGCATCACTGGCCCTCATGTGGGATCTGAGCCAGGGCCCTGCTGCTCAGAGCTGGCGTCCCAAGCCAGCTCTTAACCCACGCGCCACTTGCTGGCCCCAAATACTTTTAAAACAGCTTTATCAAGATGGCATAGAGTAACTTGCACATATTAAAGTGTACAATATAAGTTTCAACATGTGCATGCACCTATGAGTGAACACACCACCACCCCAAACGCTCCCTCATCCCTTTTCACTCCTCCTTTCTGCCCCCACAGGCAACTGCTGATCAGCTTGTCACTGTGTGTTCGCTTGATTCTCTAGACTTTTATATGCAGGAAACCACACAGAATGCACTCTTTTCTATGTTCACTTGGCGTGATTATTATTTTTTTTAACTTACCTTTTTTTTTTTTTTTTTTTACTTTAGTGGGGAACAGCCATGGTCATTGGTTACACATTGCTTTCATGCTACAATGGCATAGTTGACTCTTTTAAGGAGGGTGCAGCTCACAGTGGCCCATGCGGGGATTGAACCGGCAACCTTGGTGTTATCAGCACCATGCTCTAACCAACTGAGCTGACCGGTCACCCCCACGGTGTGATTGTTTTAAGAGACAAGACCCCAGCTGGGTCCCTTGACACAGCTGAACCAGTTTCTGTGTCCTTTTGCCTGTTGACAGACATTTGGGATGTTTGCAGTTTTCGGTTATCACCCACAAAGCTGCCATGGACGTTCGTGCCCACGTCTCCCTGTGGACGTGTCTGCATTTGTCCTGGTGAATTTGGGAGTGGAGCGGCTGAACGGCCGGCAGTGTGTGTCCCAGCTCCCATAGAGCCTGCACTGCTGCACCCCACCAGCAAGAGGCTCTAGTCCCTCCACATCCTCGCTGGCCGATTTCATGGGGGCAGTGGGGTCTCACTGCCGTTTTACATTTGCGTTTTCCTAGTGACTGATAGTGCCGGGGCCAGGTGCACACAGACCCGTGTGTAGGATCATCTGGCCAGTTGTGTTCCAGTGACTGAAGCCGACCTGTTGAGCCAGTGCAGTGCGAGCCAGGCCTGGTCTCACAGTTCATGCCATGTCCACATCAAGATGCCTGGCGGTGCCGGGGGCAGGACCAGCATTCTCACGGGGCAGCCCCACCCACCTGTCCCCGTTGCCCCTAGTTGGTCTTTCCAGATGAACTTGAGTGGCATCTGTTGGGGTCCAGAGGCAAACTGAGCAATCGGTGCATGTGTGTGTGCACACATGTGTGCTTATATGTGTTTGTGTGTGCAAAGGCTCACATGACTTAAAAGAGAAAAATATGGCATTTAAAAAAATCACTGGTAAAAACGGAATGTTCCGTACATAGCTAGCTATTATATTTAGAAAAAGTGAAGTCAAATTCGCGCTCCTTATTCCAGAATGAATTCCAACTGGTCAAGTATTTGAATGCAACAGTGTGAAATCTCAGAAGAACTGTGACAGCACTCTGTAGGCCGTTTGCCACAGAGTCCGACACAGTGCCCTGTGACACCTCCTCGCCCAGCGACAGGCCACTGGGGACATGGTGGCTCCCTGCTCGTCATGGTTCCCCTTTCAGTTCCACCTGTTAGAACAGCTTCACAGAAACACACATGATATAATTCCACACAGAAAACATGGTTTGAATTTACCTCACCCTTTGCTGTATCTCGGGCCATCCTCCTGGGATCACTTTCTACCATCTTGAAATCTTTCATACGTTTCTTTACAACAGGCTCCGGAAGCTCCCGAGGTGTTTACTGCCTTGCAAGTGTTCCATTTCCTTTTGTTCTTAAACACTAGTTTTGCTGCATACTCAAACCTAAGCCGACAGCTATTTCTTCTCCACAGGTTCTAAGGACCCTGTGGTTACCCTGGGCCCACCTGAAAATCCAGGATAATCTCCCCGTCTCAAGATTCCTTTTTAAAAATTAATTAACCTAAAACATTGTGGTAAAAACACATAAAATTTACCATCTTAACCATGTTTAAGCGGTGACAGCTATATTCAAATGTGCAGCAGATCTTTAGAACGCCCCATCTTCCCAAACTGAAGCTCTGTCCCCATCCCCCATCCCCAGCACTGGCGCCACCGGCTACGCCCTGCATGTGGATCTAACTACTCCGGGGACCTCACGTAAGGGGACTCACAGTGTTTGTCCCCCTGCGTCTGGCTCATCACAGTGTAATGTCCTCCAGGTCTCTGTACATTGGAGCAGGTGTCAGAATGCCCTGTTTCGTAAGGCTGAGTCACATTCCACTGCATGGATGGACCATGTTTGCTTGTCTGTCCATTGTCCGTGGGCACTGGGGCTGCTTCCATCGCTCCCAAGGATCTTGACTTAATCACACCTGCAAGGCCCCCTTTGCCCTGTAACAAAACACAGTCACAGGCTCTGGGAGTTGGGATGTGGATGTCGCTGGGGGGCCACTACTCAGCCCCAATCACATTGTGACCCCACAGGCTGCAGGCCCATTCTTTTTGGAGTTGGGTGTTCCAGCTCTTTCCAGTGGGGTCCACTACAGCAGCGCTGGCACATACGTGGGGCCTGTGGCTGGGAATGAGACGCCCGGTTGTCACACCACAGAAGTAAAGGATTTCAGATACCCACAGCACCTCACCTCCAACACTGGGGTTCTTTCATTTTCACCAGTCTGGTGGGCACATCATGGTAGCTCGCTCTGGTCTCGATTGGCGTTTCATTTTTTCATGTATTTACTGGCCATCTGACTATCCTTTTTTGTGAAGTGTCCATTTAAGTATCGTGCCCGTTTTTCCTTCAGGTTGCCTGCCTCTCATTGACTTCTAGGAACTCTTTATATCTCCTACAATGGGTCCTTTTCTGATCCATGCATTGCAAATATCAAGTACCTCCTGTGGCCTGCCCTCTCACGCTTCACGGTATCTTTGGATGAACAGAAGTTAATTTTAATACAGCTCAGTTTTCAGGCTTTTCCTTATGGCTGGTGCCCCTGGGGTCCTGTTTAAGTTCTTACCCACTCTGGGTCGTACCTTCTCCTATGGCTTTACCTTTCACATTCAGAGCTACGATCCCTCTGGAGGAGATGTGTGTGGGCTGTGACCTATGGATCAATGTTATTTTTCTGCCACGGATATTAGTTTGACCCTGTGCCATCAAAGACTCTGTTCCATTGCACTGATGTGTCCCTTTGTCACCAGCCAGCAGGGAATGGCGTGGGTCCATTTCTGTGCCAACCTGTCATCTAAAATTTTCACACCTGACTCTCAGTGGGAGTCCTGCTGGCCTGACTGGGGACGCGTCCTCCTCATAGGGCTCCCACACTGCCAGTGGATGGGGATGGCCCCAGGCCCGCGTGGGTGTCCTCGAGGGTCTTCCCCAGGTGGGCTGCCAGACTCAGCCTCCCCACTCTTGTCTTGCAGGGTGCGTCCCCACAGCTGTGGTGCTGCAGGAGTCTGGCTGTAGGCCCCCGGCCCCACAGCTCCCCAGCCCTGTGGCAAAGTCAGTTAGTCAAGGCTCTCCAGAGAAACAGAGCCGACAGGATGTGTACACAGAGAGAAAGATGTGTTCTAAGGGACCGGCCCATGCTATTATGGAGGCCTGGTTAGTCCAAAATCTATAGGTTGGCTGGCTGGCTGAGGACCCAGGGAAGAGTTGTGGCTTGAGTGGGGAGGCTGTCAGCTGGCGCCCCATGTCTTGTTGGAGCCCCTGTCCCTGGGCCTCCAGGCTCCTGTTTGTGTGACCCATCTTAGAGGACCCACCTTCGTTTGGTGAAGCTGACAGAACCTGGAGGAAATGCCTAATTTCCAGGGCCTGGTCGCTGTGGAAAGGACCCATGTTTACCTCTCACGCTGACAAAATTTACGTCATAGAATCCAGTGTTGGTAAATGTCTTAGTTTCCTGGGGTTGCTGTAACAAAGCACCACAAGCCAGGTGGCTTGAAATAGCAGAAATCTACTCCTTGATTTCAAAATCAAGGTGTCACAGGGCTGCACTCCTTCCAGGGCAGAGTCCATCCTGCCACTTCCAGCAGTGGCTCCAGGTGTCCTGGGCTTGTGGCTGCACCGCTCCACTGTCTGCCTGTTCATCACATGTACTCCTCTATGTATCTCCCCTTCTGTCTCCATGTCCCGCTGCCTCTCTCTTAGAAGGACACATGTCCTTGGGTTGGGAGCCCACCTGGAGATGGATAGTCTCATCTCAAGGCTCCTAATCACATCTGCAAAGACTCTTTTTCCAAATAAGGCCATGTTCTGAGGTCTTGGGAGTAGGACGTGGAAACATTTTGGGGGTCACCATGCAGCCCAGGTGGACCTGAGGTGTCTGCTAGTTGGAAGGCAAAGTAGAGCTGTCTGTCCAGAGCCCACCTGGGTCAGGGAGCACACCTGGACCCGGGAGCCCACCTGGACAGGTCCACATACTTCGCAGCACACACACCCTCTGACCTGGAATTTTCACGTCTGAGGAGGTGCCCCCCCAGACGGGCAGGAGGCACAGCCCCCTGAGCTGATGGCTCTGAGGCTTGTAATGCATTACATCTGTTTCAACAGGCTGAGTGGCAGCTCTGTTCTCGGGTGAGGCCCCGCGAGGCGGACAGGCCATGAGTGACGGAGCCCCACCCCTTTCAGACATGGTGGAGATGCTGCTGCTGCAGATGGCGCAGATGCACCAGGTCATCATGCAAAACGTGATGCTCCAAGCCCTGCCCCCATCAGCGCTGGTGCCCTCCGGGGGGCCGCAGGCCACAGCCCGGCACCCCACCCTGCAGGTAGGCTCAGCCTGGAGCAGACACCAGGCAAGTCAACGCCAGAGGACCTGGGCAGCTTCTCTTCTGGAAACTGTGTGTCTGTAACTCTGAAAAGCACAGTTTGGGCTCTGGGGGTCTGTGACCACTGTGAAGCTTCCCAGTGCTCCCTTGCCCTCTAGCGGGTAGGGGTCCCGCAGTCTGGGGCCCAGAGATCTGCCCCCTTGAGCCTGGCTCTCCCTCCACACCCCTCCCCTCCCGCCCCGCCCACCCTGGGCTCTGGCCCCCGCCCTAAGTCAGGAACCAGGCAGAGCGACCTGGGAGCTTCAGCGCCGCGTCACCTTGAAACGGGCTGCTGTGTGTGCCCAGGACCCGCAGCGGGCTCGCCCCGCCGTCCTGCGGGCTGAGAGGCAGAAGCCGCCCTCCGTGCACCACCACCACCACTACGCGCCCCCAGCCCCGCTGCAGGCCGTCCCTGCGCTCGGCTCACCCGCGCCTTACTCCGTGTGGCCCCCCGTGGTCTCGGCCACCGCCCTCCCGCCTGCCTCCAGCTTCCTGCCCACCGTGTGCCACGTGGCCGGCCCCCCAGCCGCAGCCCTGAGCGCGTAAGTCCCGGCGGGGCTCAGGGCCAGCTTCCTGGTGGCCTGCGGGAGGACCCCGGGCCCGGTCGCCTCTCCCCACCCCTGCGGAGAAGCCAGTGGCCGTCCGGTCCTTGTCAGGCCCGCAGGCTGCAGCAGGGAGTCTGGGAAGCACCCCACGGCACCCTCCTGGGAAGCTGCCTACCACTTGGGCCTGTTGTTCAGCCCAGCAGGGGTGGTCCTGGGCGTGTCCAGTACAAAGCGGTGGCGAGGGCCCCACCCCGGCCCTGGCAGCAGGAGCCAGACCCAACAGTAACGACACCCCACATCTTGCCTGTCCTTCAGGGTGGCATCCGACGGCGTCCTGCCCGCACAGGGTCCGGGCCTGTGAGCTGCACGATGGCCGGCTGGTCCTTGTCCTCCCAGCGGGGGCGTGGCCGGGAAACCAGGCGGAAGCCCGGCAGTTGTCCCCGGACGCTGGACTCTGAGGGTCTTGAGGAAACAGGGATTTGGTCAGGAAAGATGCCCGGGAGCCATAGAGAGGAAAGATCTGTAACTTTAGCCACATAAAAACGTAAACCTTCCTGTGGGAAAAGTACCATAAAGTCAAACATAATGAAAACTGGGAGGCCTGTTGTCCACCACGCGAGTGGCAGTGCTGAGGGGCAGAAGGCGCGAGCTGCAGGGTGTCTGATGTGATGTCCTGTGCGGGTGGACCGCCACCAGCCCTGGTCCTGCTCCGATTATACCGGCGGAAGCCGCACATGGTGTCACAGGCTCTCTTCCACTTGCTCTTCTGCTTCTCTTGGAAGAACCAAAACAAATATGATTCCTGTGCTCTTTCTGGTATGTTTTTTCTTGGTGGAACTATGTTCTCCTGCTGTTTTAACACTGTCATCATGTAAGTGTAATTTTTAAGTGTCACGACTGTTTTCGTGGCCCCTTTGGGGCAACTGATATGTTCCCTACCAGCAGGAGCCGTTCTTGCATCCATGGACCCTCACGGGTTCTCCCAAAGGCTTGTAAGGAGATAGGACGCCCTTCGAGCTGCCACTTCACTGCACACAGGGAGCTCCCTCCGGGCTGATCAGGTGCTGCCCTCCGGTGGGCTGAGCTGCCTCTCTTGGAAACAAAAGTCTGACCCGATTTCTTATTTTCACATTAACTTTTTCTAACATGGCTTTTCTCTTTGGCTTTATTTATCGACATTAAAACTCAGCTCAGTGCACCTTCTGTGTGGGAAAACCCAGCTCGTCCTCTTATGTCTTTCTTCCTGGTGTCTTCACTCTCACAAGGACACTTCCCTTCTGAGACGGCTGCTCACCACTGCTGTGGCAGTTTTCCCCACAACTACACGCGGGTCTCCAATGCCCACTGGTGTCCTACAGCTCAATCCAGTTCCAACTCCATCTACCCAGAGAGAGCGGCAGGTCCCACAGGTGAGGGCTCAGTCCCACAGTCGGCCCCGCCCCTTCACTTCAGATGCCAATCACAAGTCCACATGGTCACCCGTGCTTCTGATTGACTGGCTATAGATCAGAGGTCCCTAGAGCCTGCCTCAGCTCCATTAACTGGAACAGCTGAAGAGCTCAGGGAGACCCCAATATTTTCCAGTTTATTAAAGGACATGGTGGGGCGGCCAGGTAGCTTAGTTGGTTACAATGTGAGCTCTGAGCAACAGGGTTGCCAGTTCAATTCCCATATGGGCCAGTGAGCTGCACCCTCCGCAACTAGATTGAAGACAACGATGTGAGCTGAGCTGTCAGTGGGCAGCTGGATGGCTCAGCTGGTTAGAGCACGTGGTCTTAACAACAAGGTTGCTGGTTTGACTCCCACATGGGATGGAGGGCTGTGCCCCACCCCCACGCAACTAAATTTAAAACAGCGGCTGGACTTGGAGCTGAGCTGCACCCTCCACAGCTAAGATTGAAGGACAACAACTTGACTTGGAGCTGATGGGTCCTGGAAAAACACTGTTCCCCAATAAATTTAAAAAAATAATAAAAAGGACATGGTGAAGGATGACATGAGTCAGATAAAGAGACACACAGGGCAATATTGGGGAGGGTCTGGAGCACAGGGGCTTCTGTCCCCGTGGAGTTAGGTGTGCGCCCACCCGGGAGCTCCCCGAGCCCCATACTATTGGGATTTTAAGGAGGCTTCTTCTGGTAGGCATGATGCGTCATCACCTCCATCTCCAGCCCCTCGCCCCTCTCTGGAGGGTGGGGGTGGGGCTGGGAGTTCCATGCTTCTAGTCACCCCCATCCAGGAGTCACCCAGCGTCACCTCAGTAAGATGTAAGAGGCTCCTGTTACCCAGGAAGTTCCATGGGATTTAGGAGCTTGGTGTGAGGAGCTGGGGACAGAGATGAGTATGTTTTTTCTATTAGCTCACACATGGCCTTGCCAGGTTAACAGGGTTGAAGGAAACGTACTTGCACTCAGGAATGTCAGATGCTGTGGAGCCCAGGATGGGGCACCACTGGCCAGGTCTGTGGGACGTATGGGTCACACCTGACAGAGGCACCCCAGACGTGCTCCCCCTTGGCCCCTCTCGGGCCAGCCTGGGGAAGCTGCCTGAGCAGGCCTGGAAGTGGGGTGGGGCTGCCTGGGCAGAGGTCGTGGGTCAGGTGCCTGGAGGTGGTGGTTGAGGCTTTGCAGGACATGATATTGTGATGTAAGAAATATGTATTTGTGTATTTGGTCTTCGTCCTGGTTCCTGGCACAGAGCCTCCAGTACCCTGTAATCCCTGGGGTGATGGGTTGAGAGGATCCCCTCCCAGCCACACCTGACATTATGCTAATGACCGAGGGCCCCTGGAGAGCTTCAGGAGGGGGCCGGTTGCAAGGGGAGCCAACCCGGGATGAGAGGGCTGGACTTTCACCCCACCCCCAACCTCAGGGGACTCTGACTTAATAGTGCATGGCAATGGGGTTGCTGAAGCTTCTGGGGTGTGGGTGCCGCACCCCAGACTCCAAGAGCACGAGCTCCTTTGCCCTGGACCCGCCCACATGTCACCCAGGGGACCCTTCGTCTGTCTGTGCATCCGTGTCTGTGGTCACATACAGGGGTTTGCCTGAGTTCTGTGAGCCATTCCAATTACCGAACTGGAGGAGGGGTCGTCTGAACCCGATTTGTAGCAAAGTTGGACAGAAGTGGGGGTTCTGGTAGGTTTGAGGCCTTAACTTGTGGGGTCTGCACAAGCTCCTGTTGTGAGTTTTCTCTGAATGGCCAAGCCCCCTATCCCTGTGCCAACGGGTACTGGGGGCTCCTACATCGTGCCCACCTGTGCCGTGAGGGCAGTTACAGAGCCCAAGACCTGTGAAGCGTGAGACACCACACAGGTGGCTGGCTGGCGCCTCAGCATGCTCAGCCATCTATGGGTCTAGTGGGAGCTGGGTCTGGGTACACACAGGACAGTAAAGGGCTCAGGGACCCAAGCGCCTCCTGGAGCAGGAGGGACCTGTCCGGGCAGACACTCCGTCTGTGGGATGCTCTGGAAACAGGCCCCTGGGGGCACAACCAACCAGGGGAATGAAATAGAGCCGAGACAGTGCCACGCCAGGTGGCAGATGACACAGCTGCTGATGGTCAGTGGGCCGGCATTTCTCTGATCAGGTCAGAAGGACACTTGACCACACTCTCTATTTTCAGGGATACATAAAAACCTCTGAATCGGTAAAAAGAAAAACCAATAGGAAAAAATGGCATAGCCCTGAGCAGTCACCTCACAGCAGAGGGGACACCAATGAAGAGGGTCACAGGTGACAGGAGAAACGCAGGACAGCCACAGTGCATGCACGGACACCCATCCAAGTGGAGGGGTCGGTGCGCCCACGTCGGGGTCTGGACCTTGGGGTCATGCGACAGGCTGCGGAGGGACGAGTGACCAAAGTATTGGGCATCACCTGGTAAAGCTGGACCTCCCAACCCCCGCCCCCCAGCAACCCGCCTGTGCCCGGACATGACAGGACCAGCAAGTCTCAGGATCCCTTCAGTCTCTTAGAAAGGATTTCAGAGCCAGGAGCTTTGTGGGTCTCTGCGTTGACTTTAAACTGAGAACAGGCAGGCCACACGGAGCCAGCGGTGGGTGACTCAGGAGTGCCACAGGCCCAAGTCCCCATCCCTGAGAGCCTGGGAAACTGCAGGCTGAGACAGATGCAAATCTGGTGGGAAATGCGTTTTCATGTTTCTAAAATTGACTCGTGGGGAAACCAAATTCTCAGCATTGCAGCATCCCCAGGCTTTAGGACCCAAGAGGGTCTCTGAGAGGCTGGCCTCTTCGGAGCTCACTGTGGTCAATGCCTGTATCTGGGAGATCCAGGTGATGCAGGCCCCTCCACGATCTGCTCCCATCCCTATAGCCCCCACCGTCGGCCACTTGCTTCATCCTTCTGAGTGGCTGCAGAGGTGGGGGACAGAAAGGCCTCATTACCAAAGGCAGGACCCCAGGGAGGGGAGGGGAGACGCTCCATCTCCCCATTCTAAGAGTTTACGACTTTTATTTACAATACTGAAAATAACATGTCTGACATGAATGGAAATTTCGCTCGTATTTTAAGAAATACGTTCACTGTGGGCAGTCAGCAGCAGGGCCCTCAGTTTGGCGGACACCTCCCCCACACGGCATCCCTGTGTCCTGGGCCGTGACCTTCAGAAGAGGCCCCTGCTCAGGGGCTGGAGCCTGGCCCCTGTGTGCCGGCCCAGCTCTTCCAGGACCTGCTTTTCCTTCTGGTACATCTGAAACGAAGGGACAGAAACTGCGGTGGATGTGCTCAGCCAGCCCGGCCTGCCCGGCCCAGGGCTATGGCCCCAGGAGCTTCGGCCTCAGGGACATCCACACAGGGTGAAGGGCAGGTCCTGCTCCTGGACTTGTGCATGCGGGTGCTGCCAGGCTGCCAGGCTGCTGGTGGGTGAGCTTGGAGGGCTGGGGCCCCTGCAGGACTCCCCGTCTGTGGGGTGTAGAGGCAGTGGGAGATGGGGAAGGGACCTCAGCAGGGTCAGCGGCTGGCTGATGGCTGGGCGGGGAGGTGGAGCCAGGGTGTGGCTGATGTGGACTCAGCCTAGGACGGCTGGGGGACAGGACCAGTGCATCAGGGACTCTTGTGGATGAAAATGCTTTATGCCTTTCAGAAAACCCGATGGTGTGATGACAAACACAGCATGGCACACACACCATACACCATGTGGACCTGAGTGGGTACAGGCTGGCACGCTCCAAGGAAGCCACCTGCCTCATGACTTTACACAGCAGGTCTCTACCAGGCGCCTGCACACTTTAAGTCCCGTTCCCAACTGATAAATGCCATCACGATTTCTCTTGTAAAGATTTTAAAACTTTAAGCCATTAGAATTCAAAGAATTTTTAGAATTCTGTCTCTCTGCTCAGACCCTCATTTCAACAGTGACTCAATACAGTTAACAGCATTTGGGGAGCCCAATATTTAAAACAAACATTGTGAGTCTTTTCTGTAAAGCAGGCATTGGTAAAATTCCTTATTTTACTGTTTTTTCCATTTTGGTTTTCATCATTGACTGCCAGGGGCAGGTCGGGGAACCATGACCATGACCATGGGGGACAGTGCCTACCTTTTGCCACGCGGCCTCTGTGCTGTGTGTGAAGCCCAATAGATGACAGAGCCCATGCGTGGCTGTCACCTGTCAGAACAATTGAGAAGCCACCTCAGGGGCTGGTCATGATTAAGCCATGAGCCAGGAGAAGAGGGAGGCAGGGCGAGCCCGGCCCATGCCTGGTGGGGGCTTAGGAGCCCTCCTCTGGGCCAGGCAGGGTTGAGAGGGTGTGGGGGTGGGCGGTGAAGGCACAGGTGTGAAGATGGGGACCTCCCAAGGTGGGGGGGGAGGGGCAGTGGTTATTTCCTGAGGAGACACCTGCTCTCAGGGCAGGGGGAGGGGTGGAGGGGTGGAGACATGGAGGACTGGGGGTAGCTAGAGGGTTCTGGGGCTGTTTGAAGGGCCTACGTGCAGCTGGGGGTCGGCAGGGCGGACAGTGGCCTGGCCCTGTGCCAGGGATGAGGGTTCTAGGAGAAGTGCCCTGGCCCTCCATTTCGTAACAATCCTCCGGAGGTACGGGGGCAGTGAGAGAAGATGTCCACTCTGCCCCCAGATCCCGGGTGCACGCTGCCGGCCACAGAGGTCCCAGAGATGGACTGAGCTGACCAGTCCTGTCTACATTGGGTTTGCTGTCACTCAGGAAGAAATGACAGCCTCCTCCTCTCCGACACCTGCTCACATTGGGTCTTGCTGGGAAGCTCTACTTCAAGTCACACAGAAGCACTAGGACCCCCCCAAACGTAATTCAGGGTGCAGTTATTAGGCCAAAGGAAAACCCCTCAGTTGAATCCTTGGGGAAGTTAAAATATGAGGCAATCACACACATCACTTTTAGAACCCCCTCCCCTCCCACGTTTCATTTGTATGTTAAGCTGAGGAGACAGGTCTGGCAGGTTCTGGACGCTAGAATCCTATCCACCTTGGGCAGTTTCCTAAGAAGCGTGTTCAGCAAGTCTGAGTTAGGTACACAGCTGCTGAGCTTGAGGCGAAAGCTAAATATAAGGCCACTGGTGGGAGCTTCCTTTTTCAGCACGGAGATGCTCCCTGCCCTCCCGGCCCCCAACACTGCCACAGGGCATGCAGCCCCCACTAGGCCTCCTCTCCCTGTAGGTCTCCCTCAACAACCCTCGTCCTATAAGTGTGGGACAAGTGTGGCATGTCGCAACCTCTTCTTGTGGCTGGAGGAAGGACAGGGATTTTATTTTGTTGGCCAAGAGCTGTCATTTCAGCTTTCCCACTTACCGTCAGGATGTCATAGTAATCTTCATTTTCTTTGCAGTGCTGGAAGATATACTCCACTCCTAGGAAAATGTCCCCTAGATTATAGTCATCTGCAAAATCAGGCTGGGGAATTTCGCCTGCTTCCAGATTCTGCAAACAAGGAAATATAGATTGGGAGAACAGGACCTCAGGAACCAATCCAACCACAGGCCTACAGGTTTTGTCCTCTCACCGCTACAGGGGTGGGGCGCTGAGCCACACACACAAGTCACTTAAGGTGTTTCCACTGTGTCGAATGAGTTACTTTCCACCACTTCTTTCATCCTTCCCAATGCATAATCACACAGATCCTTCTAGGAGTTATATTACCACATCCATACAATTTCATATTTCTGTTCTTTCCACTTGGTATTTTGTCCCAAACAGCCTTTCACATTTTCTTACTTAACGACCATAAAAACCAGTGAGTTCAAATAAGTTTGGTTCACACTAAGCCAGTCACCTACAGTGACATATTTATGTAGGATGTTAATATTTTTTTCTTCCTCTGAGTGAACGTTTTAATATTACACATTTAACAGGTTATCGCTTCCTTCTGTTGGTTGGGCTCCGTAGGTGTGACACTAGTGGATTCAAGAGGACACACGTTTTAGGTGCTCCTCAAGTGTGTAGTCAGGCTGCTTCCCAAAAGGGTGGTTCCAGTTTGTGCCGACTCCACAAAGTCGTTCACATAAGGGAGACAGTAACCAGATGGCTATCACGTACTTGTTAAATTATTTACCCAAGCCTGTTCTTTTATTCAGTGTTATTTCAATTTCTTACCATACGCATTCGTTATTGATTATTCATTATTGATTCGCATTCAAAACTGCTGTCCCTCGAATTCACCGATATTCCCCATTCCTCCAGTGGTGGGCACCGGTCATCAGAGGGGAGAGCTCTACGTTTGTGTATATTCGAAACTTTTCAAAAGAAAACTAAAAAATCATGCGTGTAGTCTAGTTAACACAGGAAATTTACACTGGACGCTGGGCTGGACGAGGTGAGGAGGGAAATACTTCTTACCTCATGAAATGGAAAAGACAGCACATCGGTTGGGACGTCTTTCCCTCTGTAGGTCCTGTTAATGCGCTGCATCCTCTTGTTGTCCACACAGATGATCCCCAGGTCGAATTCCCGGACCCCCAAGATGCCTCTTAGCGCCTGCACCTGGCGGCGGAGCGGCGCCCTCCTGAGCGGGACGGCTCGCTGCAGGTTCCTGAGCACCAGACTCATGGCGGCGCGTCCCGGGCGTCTGCAAAGGAACCAGCGGTGGACGTTTGAAAAGACGTCAGTAAGGAAAGTGATGACAAGTTCTGCAAAAACACGCATGCACATACAGTCAAATCGTTTTTATTTGGTGCAATTGCATTGGAAAATTTACAGGCGTCCACATTTTGCGATAAGGAAGATGTAAAAGCGAAGGGAAATAAAACGAAGCCAGTCAGGCGTCCAGAATGGGAAACAGCAGCCTTGGGAAACTGAGGCTGGTGGAGAGGAAGCGGCCATTACTAGCGAGGGCCGGTGAATGGGAGCAAGGGTGGTGGGCGAGCGGGGTCGGCCGCGTCCGGCCGGGTCCGAGGCGTCCCAGGAACCGCTCAGCGGGGGCCCGGGAGCGCAGGCTCCGGGCTGCGCGCGGGTGGGTACGACGCCCTTGCAGTTCCGGGGGAGGAAGCCGCCCGCGCACGTACCCGGGCCGCAGCCGGCGGACCAGGGCCGGGACCTCGCGCACCGGAAGCTCCACCGCCGCTGCTCGGTCGGAGAGCGGAACCCAATCGCGGCGGGGCGCGGGCGGGGCCGGGCTGCGCGGGAAGGACCGGAAGCCAGTCAGCCACTTTTCCGGCCCGCGGCGTACAGGGAAGTAAGTGCTTGCTCCGACTTTCGCGGTCGGGCTCTGCGCTTCCAGCCGGGCGCCGAGAGACCCGAGGTGGCGCGTCGCAGAGCCGGACGGTGAGTGTGGCGTGGGGCCCGAGCCGGGTGGAGGCCTCCCCTTCCCTCGTGCGGCTCCCCGCGCGCGTCGCCAAAGGGGTGGGCCGGGTCCGGGCGAGGGGCGCGGGGCCGGGCGCGGCCTGTGTGTGGCAAATGTGTGGTCATGCAGCTTCTGCTCCCCGCCCAACTCCGGCCCCTCCGCGTGAGGACTCTGGACCTTTAAGCCAGTTCTTTCGGACAGTCGCCCAGGTATAAAAACATTTTATTTCTGTGTCTGGAAACAGTATTTAGTGCCCTGGATACTCGGAGGAAAATTAGATGGGAGGCAACACTGAAACACTGATATTTCACAGTGTTACATGTAACCCTCTGGCTACGGAGATTGGCAGGTCAGGAGAAACTCTTGAATTTGAAAAGTGTAACGGTATTCATTTTTTAAATTAACATTTGAAGGTGTCCATAAATTTATGAATTTAATAAAATGACTATTTTATTTTTTGAAGATTTTATTGGGGAATCGGGAGGAGGAACAGACAAGTTGCTGTCCTTTTGTTCTTCAGTCTAGTTGTGAAGGACATTGCTTTACTGGCCCATGTTGGTATTTTGATCATTGCGTTCTTCCCAGGTGAGGCAGATTGGTCACCAGCCATTGGACGGCCGCTCATGGTGGCTCACGGCAGCACCATTGCGGCCTACACTGCCCCCTGCTCCAGCAGCCCAGCTCCAGGTGAGCTGTTGTTCACCATCTTAGCTGTAGAGGGCGCATCATCACTGGCCCATGTGGGATCCAAACCGGTGGCTGAACTGCTCAGAGCTCATGTTCCCAAGCCAACTCTTAACCAACGGACCACTTGGCTGGCCCAGATTTGATTTTTTTTTGGTGACACTTTAAATCTCGGTAACAAAGTAATTTACTTGTACCACCCTGCACCCTATACTCCAAGAAAAAACAAAACAAAACCCACTGGCTCTCAGGAAATACTATTTGACCCTTTGCTTTGCCTGCCTTTTAAGTAATTTAGAGTGTTAGAATATGACATGATTAAAAATTTTTTTCTTAGTCTTCCAGCAGGATATAGCTCTGATGATGTGAATTTTTGTCTTTTAGCTTATGTGCAGATGAAGAGGAGTCCCTAGTTCAACAGAACTGTTTAAGGAAGAGGACTGTTTTGTACCCGGAATATTTGTTACCTTCCAATAACTGGATCAGAAGATGAACCCAACTAACCCTTTCAGTGGGCAGCAGCCTAGTGCTTTTCCACCACCTTCCAGTAGTTCCATAGGGCCATTTCCAACGAAGCCGCCATTTCGATTTGGTCAGCCTTCTCTTTTTGGACAAAACAATACATTATCTGGGAAAAGCTCAGGATTTTCACAGGTATCCAGCTTTCCAGCAGCTTCTGGAGTAGGTCATTCTCCTTCAGCACAAACATTAGGATTCTCCAACACCTCAAACGTTGGACTCTTTTCTGGACTTGAACACACTCCGACCTTTGTAGCTACCTCTGGGCCTTCAAGTTCGTGTGCGCCTGGAAACCCTGGATTTAGCTTTAAGTCACCCAACCTGGGGGCTTTCCCAAGTACTTCTGCTTTTGGACCAGAAACTGGAGAAGTCGCAAGCTCTGGTTTTGGGAAAACAGAATTCAGCTTTAAACCTCTGGAAAATTCAATGTTCAGACCAATCCTGGGGGCTGAATCTGAGCCAGAGAAAACCCAGAGCCAAGTTACTTCTGGGTTTTTCACATTTTCCCACCCCATTAGTAGTGGACCTGCAGGACTGGCCCCATTTCCTTTTACTCAGGTGACAAGTGGTTCAGCTACCAATTCAAATTTTACCTTTTCGAAATCAGTTGATAGTAACTCCTCATCTCCCTTTACCCCTGCTTTGTCAAACCAAAATGCGGAGGAAGAGAAGCGAGGCTCCAAGTCACTGTTTGGAAGTCCTAATAGTAGCTTCACTAGCTTCCCCATGTCTTCTTCAGGGTCTCTGGGGGAACCCTTCCCAGTTAGCAAAGCGGGTGTTCGGCAAGGCTGTGAGGAAGCGGTCTCCCCAGTGGAGCCGGGGCCCAGCCTCATGAAAGGACTGAAAAGGAAGGAGGACCAGGACCGCTCCCCGAGGAGACATGGCCATGACGCTGTCGAAGACTCAGACTCTCTATCACGGGGCGATCATCCCCCAGATAAACGGCCCGTCCGCCTGAATCGACCCCGGGGAGGCACGCTGTTTGGGCGGACAATACAGGATGTCTTCAAAAGCAATAAAGAAGTCGGTCGTCTGGGCAACAAGGAATCTAGAAAGGAAATTGGCTGTGCTGAGTCTGGGGAAAATGACCACATGGCCATCCCAGGAGGGAGTCAGTCTGTTCTGGCACCATCCCGCCTTTCAGGTGTGAACAAAGAAGAAGAAACTGAAAGTAGAGATAAAAAAGAAGGTGAGCTCTAAGCATGTACAACATACAGTAAACCCTGCTGGCCAGCTCTTGGTAAATTCCCCTGGGTGTCAGCTTGCTTTTTCTGGCAAGTCCCCTGTGAACATTAGGGACATTAATATACAATAGGATCTTGGAGTGGTTCTCAAGTCCATGCTTTTCCTTTGCTCTTACATAGTTGGCGCCTCCTGTTTTGAAAACGTTACATCTAATGTGGTTCTGTGCCTTTCCTCTGATCCCCTAGATTTTCTAAGAGGAACTCCTGGGCGCCAGAGTAAAAGAAGTGAGAGCACAGACAGTCTTGGGGGCTTCCCTTCCACTGAAATCACAGCGATCCAGTGCAAGAACATTCCCGACTATCTCAATAATAGAGCCACTCTGGAGAACCACTTCGGCAAAATCGCCAAAGTGCAGCGCATCTATACGAGACGCAACAAAAAGCTTGCTGTGGTGTATTTTTTTGATCATGTGAGTGCTCCTGAGTGAGCTTTGTAAGTTTAAAACCTATTTTTTTTTTTTTTACTGGGGAGTTGGGGAAGGGGAACAGTGTTGGGGAAGGGAGACAGCCAAGTTGTTGTCCTTCAATCTTAGTTGTGGAGGGTGCAGCTAGCTCAGCTCCAAGTCCAGTCACTATCCGGCTGCCCGTCGACAGCTCGCGTCTGCTCTGTCAAGGTGCCATGTTCAATCTTAGTTCTGGGGGGTATGGGGGCTGGGGCACAGCCCACCATCCCATGCAGGAGTTGAACCTGCAACCTTGTTAGGAGCACATACTCTCACCAGCTGAGCCATCCTGCCACCTGTTGGCAGCTGAGTGGCAGCTCTCATCTCGGGTGCAGCTCACTGGCCCATGTGGGAATCGAACCGGCGACCCTGTTGCTCAGAGCTCGTGCTGTTAACCAACTGAGCCACTTGGCCGGCCCCTAAATCCTATTTTTTTTTATCTGTCGCTTGCTAGAATGCAGGGAAGTACTATCTTATTTTTAGCTTGGAGAGGCTACTGGTGCAAAAGTAATTGCAGGTTTGGGCTGTGAATTTCAAATCATTAGGGTTCCATAGTGTAATGGTTAGCACTCTGGACTCTGAATTTCAAATCATTATAACTAGGCTCAAACACATCTTTATTAATCAAAATAGGAACCATTACAATCAATACATTTTTGCCAATGAGAAATAAGTTTGTTTATTCCTGTAGCGTAAAAATCTGTGCTTCAGGATTTGATGCACTCTTGGAAAGGATTTTCTGCATCCTTCTGGTTGTGGAAGTGTTTTCTCAGCAAAAAGTTGCCGAGATGCTTGAAAAATAAGTGGTAGTCAGTTGGAGACAGGTCAGGTGAATATGCCGGATGAGGCAAAACATCATAGCCCAATTCGTTCAGCTATTGAAGCGTTGATTGTGCGATGTGCAGTTGGGCATTGTCGTGGAGAAGAATTGAGCCCTTTCTGTTGACCAATGCCAGCTGCAGGCGTTGCAATTTTTGGTGCATCTCATCGATTTGCTGATCGTATTTCTCAGATATAATGGTTTCGCTGGGATTCAGAAAGCTGTAGTGCAGCGGTTCTCAACCTTTCACAGTTGAGTTTCATAAAAAACACATATTTTCGATGGTCATAGGAACCGAGACACCGCTCCTCTATCCATCTCCAGGCCCACATGCAGATATGCCCACATACGAGTACCTGGCAGCCCCTGTGAAAGGGTCGTTTGACCCCCAAAGGGGTCGCGACCCACAGGTTGAGATCCGCTGCTAGTGGATCAGACTGGCAGCAGACCACCAAACAGTGACCATGACCTTTTTCTGATCCAAGTTTGGCTTTGAGAAGTGCTTTGTAGCTCCTAGGTCCAACCACTGAGCTGGTCGTCGCCAGTTGTTGTATACAATCCACTTTTCGTTCCATGTCACAATGCGATCGAGAAATGGTTCATTGTATTGTAGTTGCATAAAATAAGAGAAGACACTTCAAAACGGCGATTTTTTTTTTATTTGCTGTCAGCTCATGAGGCATCCACTTATCGAGTTTTCTCACCTTTCCAATTTGCTTCAAATGCCGAATGACCGTAGAATGGTCGACGTTGAGTTCTTCGGAAACTTATTGTGTAGTTGTAAGAGGATCAGCTTTGATGATTGCTCTCAATTGGTCGTTGTCAACATCTGATGGCCGGCCACTACACTCATCTTTAAGGCCCTCATCTTTGCAAAACTTCTTGAACCACCACTGCACTGTATGTTTGTTAGCAGTTCCTGCGCCATATGCGTTGTTAATGGTTGTGAGTTGTCTCTGTTGCTTTACAACCCATTTTGAACTTGAATAAGAAAATTGCTTGAATTTGCTTGTGTTTGACATTTCCATAGTCTAAAATACATAGAAAATAAACAGCAAGTAATAAGTCATTAGCAAAAAAACAAAGAAATGTGCATTAAAAAGATGTATAACATAACGACATTTAAGAATGTATTCCAATACCAAAGGCAAATTTCAACAATGCAAAAGCCGCAATTACATTTGTACCAACGTAATAGAATAGCACTATTTGTTTCATAACTGGAGTCATCAGTGAGAAGCTTGCAGCCCCTTCTGAGTGCTCTGCTGAGCGAGCCCTACAAAGTCAGACTGCTCTTTAGCGCAGGGCAGTGGCCCTGTAACCACACAGCGCTTTTGCAAACTTGAGTTTCCTTTTTTTTGTGTTTGATTTTGTTTGGTCGTAGTATGCGATCGCTGCAAACATTCCACAATACAGAAACGGTGCCCTGCCCTGTCATCCCACTCTCCAGAGGCAACTGGCTGGTTCTTACCCTGACTTGAAGTTTGTGCAGAAGCAGCACCCGTGTGCTGGGAATGGTAGTTGTAGTGTCTGCATCCATGCACTGCACCCATTGTGTAGCTTTATGTCTTCATGGTTTTTCTTAAATGTCCTGTGGGGACAAACTAAGTTCTGTAGGAATTTATAAAGTAGAAAGTATGTTTTCATGCCTTTGTTAAGTGATAGAAGTATTGCCTGTCAGTGCCATGGTAGGGGCACAGAATCACCCACTATTTTCTCCACCAAAATTGCAGCTGCGAGTATTTTGGTTTCCGTCTTCGCAGATGTACAGTCACATTGTCTTTACACAGCTGGGACCACACTGCACAGACGGCCGGTAACGCTAGTGTTCATCTAGATCACAAGGAAATTGTTAGGTGCCACATAGCGTGCTGTCCTGTGTACTTACTGACTTGGCCAGTCTTCTCCTTGTGGGTATTTTTGTGCATTTATTTCTGATTAGTGTAGATCCTTTGTTTAAATTCCTGAGAGTGGAAGTTCTGAGACAAAATACATGTAGTTTTAGGGCTTTTGCTGGTTATTCCTTCCTGTTGATTTGTTTTGACTTTGGTGGCACTAATTACAGTCACCATGTTGTGCAGCCATCACCGTTTTCTATTTCCAGGCTTTTTCAACACCCCAAATAGAAACTCAGTAGCCATTACGTGGTAACTCCCCACCCCCATGCTTCCGCCCCGGGTGACCTCTAAGGTACTTCCATGACTGCCTACTTTGCACAGTTCATATAAGTGGAATCATACAGTATGTGTCCTTTTGTCTGGCTTTTTCCAGTTAGTATAATGTTGTCAAGGTTTGTTCACGTGGTGTGCTGCACTCCTTTTTATGGCTAAATCCTGTCCCGTTGTGTGGATGGACCTTGTTTTGTTTATTCATCTCTTGCTGGACATGGGGTATTTCCACCTTTTGGCTACTGTGAATAATGCTGCCGTAAACGTGTTCTGCACATCTCTTTTTGAGGCCCTGCTTTCGTTCTGCTGGATTTATACGTAGGGGTGAAATTGTTGGGTCATGTGGTAATCTTTTTTTTTTTAAAGATTTTATTGGGGAATTGGGGGAGGGGAACAGCGTTGGGGAGTCGGGGAAGGGGAACAGAAAAGTTGCTGTCCTTTTCTTCTTCAGTCTAGTTGTGGAGGATGTCATTTCACTGGCCCATGTTGAAATTGTGATCATTGTGCTCTTTCTGGCTGAGGCACATCGGTTGCTGGCCATTGGACGGCCGCTCACGCTGGCTGCTGGCTGCCGGCAGCTCACGGCAGCCCAGCTCCAGGTCGAGCTGTTGTTCACCATCTTAGCTGTAGAGGGGGCAGCATCAGTGGCCCTCATGTGGGATCCGAACTGGTGGCCCTGCTGCTCAGAGCTGGCGTCCCAAGCCAACTCTTAACCAACGAGCCACCCAGCCAGCCCCTCATTTTTTTTTTTAGAGTTACTGTTTGGCTATTGCAATGTGCTTATTCTTGCACCTGACCCCTGAAAAATATTTATATAATAAATATACAACATGACACATAAGCACATTGTTACGTACAATGCTGAGGTCCCCTGATCACCCCCATCTCTTCTTACCCAGGAGCAGATATGGTCATCTCGTGCGGTGTGCGTGTTTCTAGACCTTTTCACACTTGATTTTGTGATAAATTGTATCTCACGTATATCATTGATATGCAGCTTGCTTTTGTGTGTAAGTGTGACTTGGCTGTATCTTTCCTTTGCTGTATGCTCCCACGTGGTGAGAATCATTTCACCAAATGCCACGAGGCCAAGCTTATGGGTGTGTCACTGTAAAGTCATTACTTTCAAAAAGGAGGAGAGCAGATACCACATGTGAGATAGGTAGGGAGGTGAGGACCGTGTCCGCCGAGCCTGGAGGCCACCGCCCGGTGTCCCACAGGCAGTGTGTGGCACGGGCTCTGCCCCCAGCATCTGGCTGCTGTGGCCTCCAGCCGCCCTCACACATGTGTTGTGGACTCTTTCCCAGGCGTCTGCAGCCCTGGCCCGGAAGAAGGGGAAAGGTTTGCACGAGGACGTGGCTATCTTTTGGCATAAGAAGAAAATAAGTGAGTTTTCAGTTCCTCTTTCACAATCTCTGATGCTTTAAGCTTTGAGCGGGCGCCCTTTCCCAGGCTGTGGGGGCCTCCACGTGGATCCTTGCGTCTCTGTTTCCTCGGGCACCTTTGTGACCTCCGTAGCAATTATAAGAGTTTTACTTTCTCAAAAAGAAAGTGAAGAAGTCCGTTGTCGAGTGATATGTAACATCACAAACTCTGTTCTGACTCTTGCATCCTCAGGTCCCAACAAGAAACCCTTTTCCCTCAAGGAGAAGAAACCAGGCGAGGGTGATGCTGGCCAGGCCCCTGAGGACACACCCTTTCAGCACTCCCCTCTTGGCAAGCCCACGGCGAGGGTTGCAGCTGGCAGCCTCGTGACTAAAAGGTGCGCTGGTCTAGCCCATCGCCTGTCGTAAGTGGCTCGTGCGCCCTTTGTCCTCTCAAGTCAGTGAACAGAAGGGCCTTCACAGCAGCCGGGCCAGAGCAAGAAAGGGAAGTGGGGTGACAGGCTGGCCTGAGCAGGGGCTAGGGGTGATGGGGAGGGAGAAGGAGGGGAGGACGTGGTAAGGACAGGACTGGGAGGGGACACAGAGTTGACAATGAGAGCCACTCGCCAGGGCCATGAAGAGGCCCTGAGCTCCTCGTCGTCTGACTGGGTCACACACACCATGCAGTTGCTGTCACACAGTTCTCACGTCAGGTATAAGCAGCCACCTTTTCCTTTAGAACTGGAAGCTGGCTGTGATAACCACGTCTTCCTAGCAGCCACTCCAGCGGTTTCAGCATGACTTTTGGTAGGTCAGCTCCTCACAGTGAGGCCGTCACGGTGGGGGCCAGTGTTTTCCCTGCAGCTGTTCACCTGCGGGAGCCTGTCCTTTCTGGTCACGGTCACGCAGCCCGCTCCTTGCCACAGGCCTGAGCTCACCTTCACGGGCTTGGCCACCCGTGAGCGTTTCCTCTGTTGGGCAGCGAACAGATTTGCATTTCTTTCTTAATCAACCCGTCTTCTGGCTCCTTTGACATTCAGGTTCCCCGAATGCTAAAGCCAGCTAGAAAACGGGGACGCTGAGAGAGAATGCCCGTTCTTGGTCCATCCTCCTTCTGAAGTGAAGTTTCATGGGAAAACGTGTGGGCATGTTCCTCCCGGTGGCAAAGTGGTTTTAGGCTGAATTTTATTTCTTTGAGGTAGAATTCTGTAGATACTCATCTCAGCTGTTTCAGTGGGCTCAGCTCATCTGTAAAAAGTATGACATATTTCAAAATGTCTAACTCACCTGAGTGAATACCCTGAGTGCCACCTCTGCTCAGCGCCAGCGTCACTGCGGCCACTCTCCGCAGTGCTTGTGGCTCATCAGCTTTAACGGAGCAGAAAGCCTCGGCAGATGTGGGGGTGTTTGGAGTGGAAGTGGGTGAGTGCCGAGGGCTCAGCGCTTGACATGCTCCTCCCTCGGCAGCTCCCCCGTGAAGAAGCCCGGTCTCCTGAAGGTCCATCCGCTGGAGGGGGACCCTTTCGACTCGGGCTCTGAGGCCTCGGAAGGCACCGGGCCGAGTGTGTCCTCACTCAGTGCCCTCATAGGCACTGTGGCCGAGACATCCGAGGAGAAGTTCCGCCTGCTTGACCAGAGGGACAGAGTCATGCGGCAAGGTATGGTGGCTGCCTCTCCACAGAGGACCAGACCTGGGCAGGTGGGCACGGCGAGGCACACGCAACCTTTGTTTTCTAGTCTTTCGAGGGGCTGAAAGTTGACATGTCTACAATGCGGATACGTGTTTAGTTTTGTTTTATTTTTGGGAGAAAGTCTACAAGTCATGGATCCGTGCAAAACTAAACAATTTAAAGGGCAGTTTTTAGATATTCAGAAAGCACGTGAAAAGAAAGTAAAAATTTTGTTTGACAGAAATCACCACAGATAAAACTAAGAAATGTCAACCCGGGAAAAAGCATACACAAAGGGCCGATTTCCTTGATATAGAAAATTCTGTGCGAGTTGGTATGAAAAAGACCCCACGCAGTTGGAAAAAGGAAGCAGCCTGACAGATTACAGAAAAGGAAGTACTGGGAATTGGCTCTGAAATGTGTGGACAGATGCCCACCCCGTCACTCAGGGAGAGGCAGACAACAGCCCTGGGGTTGCTGTACCCCACGGGCGGCGGTGGTGGGGGTGGGGGGTCGGCACCTGTGAGGCTCGGGAGAACTGCCTTTTTTCCCAGCGTCCCCTGCCCAGGGGTGTGTCCCACAAACTGTGTGTGAGAGAGTCATACACAGGTGGTTTGTGACAGCAAAGATTGGACACTGGTTGTCCACAGAGGGCTCGTAAACAGCCTGACAGGAGACTCGGGCTTCTTTATGGAAAATCATCAAGACTTATTGTGAAGTGAAGAAAGCCAGGGGGAGTCTGTGGCGTGCTACCACTTGTGTACAAAGGGGAAAGTGTCTGGGCGTGAGCGTACTCGCTTAGCTACGTGTGCATTCCGGTCATGGGGCTAGGAAAGGGGCCGCTGACCTGGTTGTCAGGAGTGGGGAGCAGGCTGACACGGCACTGTGTTCTCACATTTATACCCTCGGGTTGTTGAACCATGTGAATGTGTTATCTATTCAAAAGTGAGTATTCTGTTAACATTAAAAACATGTGCACTGATGGGCTGGCCGAGTGGCTCCGTTGGTCAAGCGCTCGCTCTGAGCTCTGAGCAACAGCGGTTCGAGTCCCGGCCCGAGCTGAGCTGCCAACAGGTGGCAGGATGGCTCAGCTAAAAAAAATATGTGCACTGACAAAAATCAAAGGCAGAAGCACCTGCTTTTTGCAGTTTTTTAAAAATTAAATTGTGGGATTTCTCTTCTTTTAAAAGCTGTGAGTGAGAATGATCATGGCGCCTCCTCAGCACTGATAAAAAGCTGCCATTGTGACTTAGGCCACTGATACGGTGATTTTTATATTCCAGATAAAGTTATTACTAGATATAGGAATATTCCAAAATAAAAATGTGTGTATTTTGAGTTCTTCAATTCCATTTCACTTATAGGATATTTTTGTAACTATTTAATTCTGTGGGGAATAATAATGGTTTATTCCGGTCAGGACCTAGGTAACATCCATTGTGTGATTCCTGTTATATTAAAAATAGGGTGAAGTACTGAGAGCTTTAGAATGATCATACGTTTTGAGTATATATGTTAAACACAGGGGTCCTTTGAACAAACATGCTGCAGCAGATTATTTTTTTT